CCCCCCGCCCCCAAGTTGTATTTCACTGGTACTAGGAAGAGAATTCATTTAAAGGGAAGAAAGTTACAGAAGAGGCATTTTCCTACATAATTCATAAGTTTCATTTGACACTATATATTTTTGCATTGTTTTTGTGAAAGCTTAAAAATTGCCCTTTTTCTTTTAGTGAATAATTGAAAGGGTTATTTCTTTTACATAATTATTAATAAATATTAATAAATATTAATAAATATTAAGGCTAAATATTTAGCCTTCCGAGGATTTACTAGGGAAGTGGCCGTATAGTTGCATCAACCATTATAATCGTTACAATCAAAATGTAAGTAAAACATAGTTTATGTATGTTTTTGTGTTCCTTAATTCATTCAAGGTTCTATTTCCAAATTTAATGTATTAGTTTGTAATGGCAGTTTCTAGTCTACATTTCTAGAAATACTTGGCTTCAGAAGTCACATACAATGATCTGTTGTTCTCTGAACCCTAACATTGGCAAGCTGGATGTAAACTTCAAATTTTAGAAAAATGATCACTTTTCACAGAATTTTGAAATGGCTACATTCACACATTAATGACTTAAGATTAGCCAAACCTCTATGACTTCAACTCTGATGTCTACCATTTGATTCAATGATTCATTTACTGATTAACTTATATTAGTCATTGTGCTCAGTGATGCAAATATCATGGTAAATAATAAATAGCTTGGGATCCTTCCTCTTAAGGAGTTTACAGTCTTGTTAATAAATTGGTCGTGATAAAATATGTATTTTTACTCTGTACAGATATGTTAATATCCATCTTGTTAGTACCAGACTGGAGAGTGGCTAGCTAGGTATAGTGAATAAAATTTAAATACTAAGGATAACTTTTACTCATATAAATGTCTTGTAAAGTTAATTGTTTCTATTTTTTTTTCTTAGATGCAGAGCTTTCTTAGGTCCCTTCGTAATAGTGCAGCAAAGAAAAGAGCAAAACTGAGTGGCAGTACTCCTGATCTTGAAAGCCCTGATTCTGCAATTAAGCTTGACTTGACTGTGGACTCACCATCTCGATCTTCCTCTCCAAACATCAGCTCTTATAGTGAAAGTGGAGTTTACAGCCAAGAATCACTGACTTCTTCTCTGTCTACAACTCCTCAGGGGAAGAGAATAATGTATTTAATTTTTTTGACATGTTAAAGGAATGCTAATGTTTAATTTGTAGTCTGATTCCTAATATCATATTTGAAAAAAAAGCTTTAAAGCTATTTATATTCTAGTTTGTAAAATGTTGAAGTCCATTTAAAAGAAAGGTTTACAGGGCGCCTGGGTGGCACAGTCGGTTAAGCGTCCGACTTCAGCCAGGTCACGATCTCGCGGTCCGTGAGTTCGAGCCCCGCGTCAGGCTCTGGGCTGATGGCTCAGAGCCTGGAGCCTGTTTCCGATTCTGTGTCTCCCTCTCTTTCTGCCCCTCCCCCGTTCATGCTTTGTCTCTCTCTGTCCCAAAAATAAATAAACGTTAAAAAAAAAAAAAGTTTAAAAGAAAGGTTTACAGGTATTACCTTGCTTGGCGTTGGTTTGGGACGGGTGGAGAGAGACAACACAGCCACAGCTGTAACCTAGGGCACCTATATTAATATAAGCCCTTATTCCCCAAGCCCTACTTGTTCCTCTGCCTATCTAACATTTATCCTAATATTCCTTGTTCTTTAACTCCTTTCTGAATCCTTGACACTTTTGCAGCGGACCTATAGCTGATGTTACTGCTTTCATTCAAAACTCAGCACCAATTTCCTCTAATTTGTAGGTAAACTCCACCCAGCTGTTACCCCACTCTTGTATTTTGTTATTCCATTATCTTGTGGAAGCTCAGGAGGCCATGCCATAGCTTTTGCAGCCTCCTCAGGAGTCTTCTTGTAGCGGCTGTGGAATTAGAGTCCTGGCCGCCCCACACTGACAGAGAATTATTTTCTAGTACAGCAATTCAGCAAACTTTTTCACATTACCTCAGTAACCCCTAAGTCTTAATTAAATGGTAAACCCACCTTGATTTCTGGGGATTTCTGTGACTTTATTCTAGGATTTTGGGGAATCTCTTCCCTCTTTATTTTAGACAAGAACCTAAGAGTAGAATTGCTAGGTCATAGGGTAGATGTACATTTAACTTTTTAAATAACTGCTAAACAGTTTTCCAAAATGCTTGTACAGTTTTACACTCCCACTAGCAAAGTCTGAGGTGTTTCACATCCTTGTTTATATCTGTTGTCATTCTTTTTACCTTTACTTTTCTTTGATTTTATCCTGAACCATGTTTATACACAGCTATCAGCCATGATTATTTAAAATTAAATTTAAATTATTTTCACTTACATGAACTGGAGTCTCTTAACAATGTATGTAACTAGAGACTGCATAATCAAAGGAGAGATGGTGTTCTATTAACTTTAATGGAAAAGGGTGTTTCATTTCAGCAGTCCATAGAATTAAACCAAATTTTTGTGTCCTGCTCTGAGAAGTTTATCTTATCCCATGATTTCATTCTCTACAGTTTTAACTTAAGTGGCATTTTAGTTTGCAGTTGTAAATTTTTTTTTTACTGGAAATTATTTTGTTGTAATTACCTAGATAGAATAATGCAGTGTATTTACAAAATTAATTTGGAATGGCTACATGGGCTGGTGAGATAACTGTGGTTACATTTACTTACCAGATGTTTGAAATAGATATTTATCTTTTAGATCTAAAGTCCTTCCCTTATCTTCTAGGAATGTGAAATTTTGTGTTAGATACTCCTACAGTTGCAAGGTCCTGTGAATAATTTGGAACCCAGTTGGGAAGAAATGTTCACTTTATACTTTAACATTCAGAATTCACTATTCCCTATGTTGTCTCATGGAATTATTCTCTTCAGATATTGAACTCTGTGAGAAGGGGAGTTCAGTATGCCCTCATATCTGGACTAAATTACCTTTAATGAATTTCATATTTCCACATTAAGTGTAATAGCTTTAAAGCAATTATTCTTAACCAGCTTGCATCTTGCCTTAAGAATAATGTCAAAGAAAGCCACTTCTACCCTATGTGGAGCTTTCATCTTTAAGTGGGTTTGGGAGGAAAAACTCTTAAGAGCCACTCTTTTAGAGACTGAAGTATTTTCTTTCACCTGAATGTAATGCATGGCATAAATGTAAATTTTTTATTCTTTCTATTCTAAAGAAATTACTCTTTAAAGATGTTTAACATTGATTTCTCACTAGATCAATTAACAACAATGCCAACCCAACTAAGAATTGTACTCCTTTGTAAAATCTCTTCTTTATAATATCCATCACTGGCTTGGGGCGCCTGGGTGTCTCAGTCGGTTAAGCATCCGACTTCAGCTCAGGTTGTGATCTCGTGGTTCGTGGGTTCGAGACCCGCGTCGGGCTCTGTGCTGGCAGCTCAGAGCCTGGAGCCTGCTTCGGATTCTGTGTCTCCCTCTCTCTCTTCCCCTCCCCTGCTCATGCTCTGTCTCCCTCTCAAAAATAAATAAACATTAAAAAAAAATTATATCCATCACTGGCTTATTGATATTATGACACTTACTTGATTTAAAACAGTTCTATTACATTCTAATTTAACATTCTTCAGTTGCTTTTTTTTATAAAACATAGCCTGTAGGTCTTTATAATGTCAGAAAAGTGTGGGGCGCCTGGGTGGCTCAGTCGGTTAAGTGTCTGACTTCGACTCAGGGTATGATTTCATAACTCCTGGGTTCAAGCCCTGCATTGGGCTCTGTGCTGACAGCTCAGAGGCTGGAGCCTGCTCTTCAGATTCTCTGTCTCTGTTACCTCACTGCCCTTCCTCTGCTCGTGGTCTGTCTCTCTCTCTGTCTTTCTCAAAAATAAACGTTAGAAAAGAGAAGTATAACAAAGAATAATACAAGAAGGGGCATCTGGGTGACTCAGTCAGTTAAGCATCTGACTTGGACACAGCTCAGGTCATGATCTCATGGTTTTGTGAGTTCAGGCCCCCCGCCCCACTGCTGTCAAGCTCTGTGCTGACAACGCAGAGCCTGCTTGGGATTCTCTCTCTCTCTCCGTCTCTCTGCTCTCTCTGCCCTTTCCCCACTCATGCAGTCTCTGTCTCTCTCAAAATGAATAAATAAACTTAAAAAAAAAAAACTCCAAGAAGTGGCATTTGCTAATAAATGTTTCTAGTCTCTTATTTGTAATGTAGTTAAGTCTCTTTTTTTGGTATTATTATTTATAAGGGTAGATAGTATATTAGATAATTAGGAATCATTTGCTTTAGTTTTGGAATGCACTTTCTTTGGATCACTTTTTTTTTTTTGACCCAATAAAAGATTATATAGTACAAGTTGGAGAATCTTCCCTGCCTTTGGCAATCCTCTCATAAATAATTAAGAATTGCTGATATGTTAAAAAGGTTGGAAGTTCAAAAAGTGAACTAGGAATATCAATAAAAAATTCTTATAGTTTTTCTTACTTGCTCCTGCTTTATTATTGCAGTTTAGTGAGTTAATGGGAAATATAGAGAATGTTTTGTGTAAGAATGTTGAATAGCTTTAGATCTTAAATGATTATTGAAATTACTTTGTTTCATTGTAGGTCAGACATATTTCCAACATTTGGATCAAAACCTTGTCCTACAAGACTTTCTTCTGCAAAGAATAAAAATTCTGAGATAGCTGACCAAAGCCCCAGTGCAGGTATTTTATAACTTTTATAAATATGATTTATAGACACTATGATTTTTAAATTATATCAAAAATGATAAATACACTTCAGATTTAGAATTTTTGAGCATACCAAGTAAAAGTAATCATCTTTTTAACTCCTTAAAGGGACTTTTTTTTTTTTTTGCAAGAATAAGTATTTTATTATTCTTAGAAGAAAAAGCATTTAAATAGTTGATACCCATTTAAGCCCATAGGTGTACCTATGCCTGGCTCTTCCACCCAGATGTTTTGGTTTAATTGATAAGAAATGTGATGCTGCTGTCAGAATTTTGAAAGCCCTCAGGGTGATTCTAATATGCAGCATAGTTTGGAAGCCACTATGCATCACAAAAGACAATTTGTTTTAAAAAACAACACTTAACTAGTCGTTAACTTCATTTGTATCTTAAGAATTTTGTGAACTAACGTATAACACTCTAGTGTATAGCATCACTTTTCAGAAAATAGATTTAGTTGTTCGTAATCATTTGGAAAAATATTTGGATTTTTATCTATTTAGGATGGGAACCGCATGTGATTCTATGATTGGTAAAACTGTATTCGATTCTGAGTGAATTGTAACAAATTGGAATGTGATGTTTATTTTCATATGATCTCAGTGTAAAAGTCCTAATAACTTTAAGCTACTGTATCTTATGTTATAATTTTCTCCCTAAAAAGCTATATTTGTATTTAATTGTCTGCTAAGATTTTTAAATTTCTTGCTCCTAAATATGCCGTACTATCATCTACTCTTTTTAGTCTCTACTATCACTTTTGCTCATTTCTTACCTACTTAGCCTCCTAAGATTTTTCTCTAGCTTCAGTCTCATTCTCTATAATCCATTCCCCACAATGTAAATCTGAATATATTGCCCAGCCTAAATTTATTCAGGGCATTCTTCTATGATCTCTCCCCTCTCTACCTCTCCAGCCTCATATTTCACTTCCTTCTTTATAATCTTACACTCCAGTTTTATTAGATCACCTTCAGTACCATTTTTTCTCTTTTTGCAGTTGCATGTACTATTTCTTCTAAGTGAAATGTGGAATCCACACCACACCCCATTCAGCTGTGAAAACAGCTCAGTTGCTTTCTCTGGAAGCCTTCCCCATTCACAAACAAAATTGATTATTACCTCTTTTGTGATGTCATTACATTTTGCACTGACATGTTTATAGTTGTATTGCCATTGTTTTACTTTTTTGGACTCTGAGATTCTTAGATCCCCAGAAATTATTTACTTCTGATTCCCTACCAAGTACCTTCATAATCATGAATGCCTGATTCAACCATGCATGCCTAGTATCCTGTCTTCCACAAAGCTAGTGTTCCACAAAGTTAGTTAATCTAACTAGGTACAGGAAGACCAGGTAAATGTGCTTTGGGGTCTGAAAGACCCTAGCTGGAATCCCAGTTTGACTATATTCATGAGCTGAGCAAGTTATTTAACTGCTTTGAAACTCAGTTCTTTCATCTGGTAATGTAAATCTTGAGAAAGGGTAGTGAACATTTAAATGTATAAGATATATAAAGCACCTAATGGGGCTCCTGGGTGGCTCAGTCAGTTATGCATCTGACTCTTGGTTTTGGCTTAGGTCATGATCTCACAGTTTGTGAGTTTGAGCTTGACATTGAGCTCTGCAATGTCAGTGCTTGGGATTCTCTCTCCCTCTCGCTCAGCCCCTCCTGTGCTGTTTCTCTCTCTCTCTCTCAAAATAAATATATAAACTTAAAAAAATAAAGCACCAAGTGCATAGAGGACACGTGGTATTTGTTCCCTTAAAGGAGAAGACACAAAGAAACATAACACATAAAATTGTTCTTTAATCCTTTTCTAAAGTTGATTATCATAGTAAATTATTCATAACTTTAAAAATATGTGTATAAGTTATTGGTGGGTTGTATCTTGTTTCTAAAAATGGAGCCCTCTTTTGGAAGAATATCTTTGGAGTTAGAAAAGATTTAGAAGAGGTGCCTGGGTGGCTCAGTCGGTCAACTCTTTTTTTTTTTTTTTTTTTTTTTTTTTTTTTTTTTTTTTTATGTTTATTTTTGAGAGAGAGAGACAGAGAGCGAGTGGGGAAGGGGCAGGGAGAGAGGGAGACACAGAATCCAAAGTAGGCTCCAGGCTCTGAGCTGTCAGCACAGAGTCCCATGTGGAGCTCTAACTCACAAACTGTGAGATCATAACTTGAGCCGAAGTCGATCGCTTAACTGAACCACCCAGACGCCCCAAGTGTCCGACTCTTGGTTTTGTCTCAGGTCATGATCTCACAGTTTGTGGGTTCAAGCTCCCATCAAGTTCTGCACTGGCAGCACAGATCCTGTTTGGGATTCTCTCTCTCCCTCTCTCTCCCTCTCTCTCTGCCTCTCCCCCTGCCTCTCCCCGCTCACATTCTCTCTCAAAATAAATAAATAAGCATTAAAAAATGTTTTTAATAAAAATAAATAAATAAACCTAGATTTAGAAAACCTAGATTTGAGTTTCCCTCTGACCTAGTAAATCATTTAAGTTAGTGGAATGAAAAAAGTCTTAAAACAGTACCTACTTCTGTATGTAATATTCAGTGTTTCCCTAAAGAGTCTAATATTTAGTGTTTCTCAAACTAGCCTAGTCCTAGGAACCACCAGGGCTGCTTGTACAAGATTTCTGGGACCGCACTTCACAACTAATGAATCAATCTTCAGAGTTAGAAATCTGTATTTTTAAACAAGTAACTTAAGTATTTCTATGATCATGTTTTCAGACCTCTACTGTTGAATTCACTGTGAGATATTCTTGCTGAAATTTAATATGTTCTCAAAATGTAAAGTTGCTAATGGTTTAGGATTTTATAAACTTGAGTTTACATTTTTTGTTTTTGTGGGATAGGGTTTTGTTTTCAGTAAGCAAATATTTACAAGTTTATTATTTAATTTGTGAAGTATAAAAATGATAGGCTCAGAATAAAGACTATCTGAAAACAAAACCAAAAATAATTATGTAAAAATTTTAAATTCGTTTTGTCTTTACATCATCATTTCCACTAATCCATCCATTTCCACATAATCCACTACTACCTATTAGAGCACATTGTGCTAAATTTCCTGAATGATGTTATGGTACAATTTTTTCCTATAGCATGAGATTAGTAGTTCCTATTATTAACAGAAAGCATTAGCCCCCAAAGCCAGTATCTTTATGAGGCTAACTTTTAAATTAACTATCAAAACTAAGAAGAATATAGGGGGCACCACGGCAGCTTAGTCGTTTGAGCATCTGACTCTTGACTTCAGTCAGGTCCTGATCCCAGGTTTGTAGGATCAAGCCCCCATATTCAGCTCTGCAGTGAGCATGGACTCTGCTTAAGATTCTCTCCCTCTCTCTCTCTCTCTCTCTCTCTCTCTGTCTCTCTCTCTGTCTCTCTCTCTCTGTCTCTCTTTGTGTATGTGTGTGTGTGTCCCTCCACTGCCTTCTGCCCTTCTTGCGCGCTCTCTCTCAAATAAAAAAATAAAAAACTAAGAAGAGAAAGATATCCACGTTACTCCCAGAAGTTCTCTATCATTTAACACCAGATATATTTTGACTCTCTATGAACTTAGTGCTTTTTACTCTCCAGTCTTCTGTAGCTCAGTTGCCACCAGACACCCCTTTCCCCACAATCCTGTTTTTATTAAAAAACCCACAACAATATTAGAAACAAATTATCTTTTGTTATTACTACTTAATGGTATTTATAGGAGCTATATATATTAAAATGGATGGTGACTCAAATGTATATTGGGTAGTATTTTCCATTTAGTACATATTTTGTAGTTTTAACGGCTTCAAAGTATTAGTATAAGGTAGTCAGTTTAAACATTCAAATGTAGATTAAAAGTTTTTGTATTTGTTAAAAGGAGGCCCATGTTAGAGTTTTGATTAGTTTTATTTTTAATTAGGAATATAACATTTAATTAGAAATATAAGAGTATGCTAGGCACTATGCTAAGCCTTTGACGTATGTTTTCTTCACTTAACTCCTCACAACCATTCTGGAAGAGGTAATACTATTATCCCCATTTTACAAATGAGATGAAGTGTCTTGCCCAGGTTCTGTCAGTGGTCTAAGTGGAAGTGCTATGATTTAAAGCCAGGAAGCACGATTCCAGATTCTGAGCTTAGTCACTGTGTAGTGTGCTGCCTCACCAGCCAGACCAGTATAGACCCAGTACACAAGAGTAGGAGAAAAGAGAAATGGAAAATATCTCTCAGGATATAGTTTACAAATTCTAGATTAAAAAATTTTTCTTTACGAGGGAGGGAAGCAAACCATAAGAGACTCTTAACTGTAGAGAATAAACTGAGGGTTGATGGAGGGAGGTGGGCAGGGATAGGCTTGTTGGCTGATGGATATAAAGGAAGGCACTTGTGATGAGTGCTGGGTGTTGTATATAAATGATGAATCATTAAATTCTACACCTGAAATCAATTTTATCATATTTATAACTAACTAGAATTAAAATAAAAAATAGAAATAATCTTTTTTCTTTTTGCTCTAAAGTTTTAAATGTCATTTAAACATTAAATGTTTGTCATATTTTAAATATATGTGTATATATATTTGATTATCTCTTTCAAGCACTAAATTTTGCATTTGATTGTAATTTTTAACTATTTAAAAAAAATTTTTTTTTTAACGTTTATTTATTTTTGAGACAGAGAGAGACAGAGCATGAACAGGGGAGGGGCATAGAGAGAGGGAGACACAGAATCTGAAACAGGCTCCAGGCTCTAAGCTGTCAGCACAGAGCCCGACGTGGGGCTCGAACTCACGGACCGTGAGATCATGACCTGAGCTGAGGTCGGACGCTTAACCGACCAAGCCACCCAGGCGCCCCTGATTGTAATTTTTAAATGGTTGCAATTTTAACCTGTTTTATAAAATGTTTAGATATAGCTTATAATAAATGTTCTTAACTGCTAGTAAAAAGTATTACAAAATTTAAAATAAGATAAAAGCCTTTAAATTACTATAACGTTGTAATTTCTAATATTATGTTACTGACCTTTTTAAAAATCTAGAAGGCAAGATAGATTTAGAGGGGAGATATGTACCTGTCTGTACTATTACCTGAAACACAGGTAATATTTTTAATAAATATTTTTATGTATTTTATTTTATAGGGATTACAACATCCAATGTAAGCATAATTGGTCAACGTATGAACTATGGGTTTGGATGTGGTGATTTTGAAGATGATAGATCCCATGACATTTCACCTAGTGTTTTCAAGATACAAAATAAGGAACACCCAAGACATACAAAAGGTTAGTAAATTTCACAAGTTAATTTTTAAGATGGAATGTCTTTAAATCCTAAATTAAATGTCTCAGAATTCTCCCTAAGCATGCCAATAAAGAAAAATTAACTGAGCTTTCTAAGTTTTGAGATTTTTCTTTCCCCTCTGCTGATGTGTTATTGATTAAATAATTTTGCCAAATAGAAGAACATACAGGTTCATGTATTGGTTGATGGACTTCCCTGAGAAGCCATGGCTGGGAAGCAACTACGCAAGAGGTTAACACTAGGGGATCTCTGCTGATCTCAACCCCCTCAGATTACAAACACACACACACACACACACACACACACATTTTTTACAAGACATTTTACCACTAAAATGGGGGACATAAATCATGTGAATAAATAAATCCCAGATGCCTACTTAGGTTGTAACCAGGGAATAAAACTACAGAAGCAGGAATATAGTTTCCTGTGGTCGAACCTGGAAAGGCTTCTTTCTCATCAGTAACGGTTGCTAAGAATTTACATTCTCTGTTGTTTTTCATTAAACTTAGTATAGCAACTAGCTCCTCTGTGACAGCTGTACATTTTTTTTGAGATCTAGCATAGCTACATTTTAAATTTTTCCCTTAGGTAAAGAGAAAGTGATTTAAAAAATTTTTTTTAACCTTTATTATTTATTTTTGAGAGAGAGAGAGAAAGAGAGTATGAGCAGGGAAGGGGCAGAGAGAGAGGGAGACACAGAATCCGAAGCAGGCTCCAGGCTCCAAGCTGGTAGCACAGAGCCCGATGTGGGGCTCGAACCCACAAACCATGAGATCATGACCCGAGCCAAAGTCAGACACTTAACCGACTGAGCCACCCAGGCACCCCAAGAGAAAGTGATTTTAAAAGGTATAAATATTTAAATAGAGTAATTAGAATTCACTGTAAATTTTTAATCTACTAGTAACTTTAAGGAGCTGTCTTTTTTTTACATGTAGCAACTGTGATTGTAATAAGATCAACTTTTGTTATTTCTGTTCATCTGAAATCATATATATGTGTAGGCAGTCAGACATTGTAGGACATGTATACTTTTTGTGGAAATAAATTGAGTAAAAGGAAGTTGGTTAGAAGCTTTATCTTTTTTTCTTTTTTTTTGCAAATTTTTAAATTTCATCCATGATGTACTTCAATATCTGTTCTTTGTGGATGGTTTCTTATCATTGTTTTTTCAAAAGAGAATGACAAGGGTTTTTTTCATATTTACTTACATATTTCATTTCTCATGTAAAGATAATCAGTACAAAAAATAATTTTCTTCCTAAAAGTAACTCATACCCTAACATATATTTTTTAAGTTTGTTTATTTTGAGAGGGCAGGGAGGAGTAGGGAGAGGAGCCCAAGCAGGTTTGAACTCACGAACCATGAGATCATGACCCGAGCTGAAATAAGAATCAGATGCTTAAATGACTGAGCTACCCTGGTGCCCCCAACATGCATTTTTTTTTCTTTTTTAAAAATAGCTTTGAAATAATTGCTACACATGTTCATTTACTACTAGTGGCATCCTTTTTGCGCAGCAGAATCAAAAAATATTTGTATCTTTTGGGGCACCTGGGTGGCTCAATCAGTTAAGAGTCTGCCTTTGGCTCAGGTCATGACCTCACGGTTTGTGGGTTTGAGCCCTGTGTCAGGCTGTGTGCTGACAGCTCAGAGCCTGGAGCCTGCTTCTGATTCTGTGTGTGTGTCTCTCTCTCTCTGCCCCTCCCTTGCTTGTGCTCTCTGTCTCAAAAATAAATAAATAAACTTTAAAACAATTTTAAAAATATATCTGTATCTTTTGACCAGCAGTTATTTCTATGTCAGAAAATTACTTTGCACTCACACTGCCAACTCTAAACCAAACACCTGCTACATCTGTTCATTTAACAAGAGTAAACATGTTCAAAAACCAAACTGACCTTCCTTTCCAGACCTGCTCTTCTTCCTTTGTTATCGTTTTTATTAGTAGCATTACCATTTTCCCAGTTATGGGGACTTGTAACTTGAGAGTCATCTTTGTCTTCTTCTCCTTACCCTCCAGGTTCAGGCAATGACTCGTCCTGCCAGTTCTTCTGTTTAATCTCAGCCTTTGTTACCTCTTCCCTGGATAATTACAGTAGCCTTGTGATAAGACATCTTGCATTTTATTTTATCCCTTTTTACTCCAGGCTGCATACTCTTCCCAAATTATCTTTTTGAAGTATTGTTACCATCTCTTCCATACTCAAAACCTTGAGTGGTTACCTATTTCCCACAGAATAAATTTCCTGCTCTGTAGCATAATTTGGAAGACCGTTAACAATCTTGTCTCACCTTAACTGTCTTGCATTATCTTACTCCTCTTTTCATTCCCCATGCCCTGGCATTCTTAATACTAGAAGTTTTCTTTTCTTTTCTTTTTTAATTTTTTTATGTTTATTTATTTTTGAGAGAGAGACAGAGAACAAGCAGGGAAGGGGCAGAGAGAGAGACACAGAATCTGAAGCAGGCTCCAGGCTCCAAGCTGACAGCACAGAGCCTGACGCAGAGCTTGAGCTCACAAACTGTGAGATCATGACCTGAACCGAACTGGATCTTGGTTGCTTAACCGACTGAGCCACCCAGGCACCCCTAGAAGTTTTCTTAGTTTGCATGTATGTTGGCGTAGATGTCCGTTTCCAATCTTGATGTGTTCGAATCATGTCTGCTTTTTGAATACTAGCTTAAAATCCATTTATTTAGAAAGCTTTCTTCACTTTACTGGGCTGTAGTAGTATAAGTCATTTAAAAGGAAATACACTGTCATCTTTATATTCCTGTTAGTTAGGCTTTGTATGTAATGGTGTTCAGTGTCACATGTTAAATGGAGTGATGATGAGCCAACCCAAACTAATAGTGTAGCCTTGGGCACAGTCACTCAAACATTGCATCCTCAGTCAGGTTAAAGTAAATATTGAGTGCAGAGCTGGAGGGAATAAAAAAACTTCCAAAAGAAATATTCGCAATGAGTGGCATATGTGAATGGATTCCTTTTGCAGCAAACCTCAGATGGTTTTAGGGTTAGCTTTCAGAACCCCTTCTTCCCATTCCACTCCTTTGCTGGTTGTTCCTTTGAACCTGTCCATCTTCTGGCATAACATAGAGCCCCTATTGATGACTTGAGAAAGTGATTAATGATGGATGCTTAGAGTGTTAGCAAACTGGATTTTATGAATTAATATTTTCTCTTTCTCTATTTGGATGAATGAGAGAGAAGTGACAGAAAGGTTATGTAAGGATTGTTTATATGTCAAGAATCTTTTAATTTTATTTTTCCCTTATATTTTAGAATTGAGACTCACTAAGCAACATTTCTTTCAGCGTTTCTTTGTTTATAAGAAAATATAGTATAAAAAGTAAAAAGTAACATTAAAAATGACTAGTTATATCAGCTTTTTTGATAAATGAAGTTAAACTACTTAAAGATAACATGTTCTTTATATCTTTCTTCATGAGATCTAATTATTCGGTCATCTTTTGACAGATTTTGTTTTTGGACTATTACTGAGCAAATTGTTCCATTTACTGATATATGCTTCCCTTTGTCACTACACATTTTTTGAGGCTACCTGATGTTTCTAATAGTTGACCCTAAATTAATCATGTTGTGCTTTTCATTTTTTCTGCCTTGTAACATTCATCTAACATATATTTACTGAATACCCACTATATGCCATACTAATAGGCTCTGGAAAAGATTGATAATCAAAATTAGATAGAGATCCTATCTCCATAGAGCCAACAGTCTAGTAGTAAAGAGAATAATTACATAATCACAAACTGGAGTGAAAAGTAACCTAGAAAATTACAGAATGCTGTGAGATTGTCTTAGTCTGTTTTCAGGAGTTAGAGCTTTCCCCCATGATTACCCCTTTGTTGCTCAATTATCATACTATAATTATTTTCTTGTACATCTTTCCCATTCTTAACCCTGGAACATGTAAACTCCTTAAGGAAAGAAGGTTTCTTTTCTCTCTACTGCCTAGTGCATGCTAGGTATTCTAGTTTTAAATATTTATTGGACTAATAAACAAGTGAATAAATAAATTGTAAAATCTGTGTATGAAATTAATTTTGTTTTAAAAGACCATGTTACAATATTCTAAAAATATAAGGAGAATTTTAAAATATGGGTTTTTTGTTTGTTTTTTTAGCATTTACAGGGTCATCATCAAATTTACAGCAAATTCCCAGTTTTGACTTCACATCCACAAATACCTTACCAGAAGACTCAGTAGTAGTTGTTGGAAAAGGTATTTCAAAGTTCCTTAGCTTGTTAATTGTATGTGTTCTTCACACATAAGCCAAGGGTATCATTAAAGAATAGAGAAGAGTGTGATTCAAGTGTGGATTAAAACTTTCTTTTTAAAAAATTATTAAATTGAAAGAATTAGAAGTAGGTTTTATGTTTCTGTCTAACAACTATAATAATTCATGTTGGCAGTTTTCAGAGAGATGTATTAAGTGACAGTTTAGGTACTTCTAAGTAGGTACTGCAGTTTAGGTACTTACCTCTAAGACACTTTTGGGATAGCTAAGATAGTTTTATCATAGTTTAAATTCAAATGACAGTCCTTATTTATCAGCTTAGTAATTAATGTAATTTTATTATTTTCCATACAGAGTCTAGACAAACCAGAATTGACACCTGGTATGTATAATTAGGGGGATTAAGGGAGCTTTGAACAACATATTTGCAAGTATTTTTTTAAGCTCTTTTTTTTGGCAGACAGTCTCTTCTCTGCTGTCCTGCCTGCTGTTCCCTTGCAGTGTATTCAATAAACTTCTAACTCCTTTAAAAAAAAAAAAACTGATTTTTTTAGCTTTATTGAGGTATAATTAACTGAATTATAAAGTGTTTAAAGTGAGAAAAGGATTCCCCCATCAAGTTAACATACCTCAACTAGTTTCTTTTTTGATCAGAAAGCTAGCATGTGAGGATAGACATTGAGAGTGCACATCTTATTATTGGTAAATATGGTGAAATAGAATGAAATGCTTGGAAAGCTTTCCTAATTGTTTGCTTGATAGAATTTCATTAAGTTCATTTAAGGCTCTCCACCTACCCTTGCACACTTAGTTTCTGTTATTCTTCTATTTGCCTTGTGCCCAACCAAAGTTATTCACTCCACATACGTGGAGTATACTTGTTCCCATCTCATAGGATGTCCTCACCTCCTTCTTCACTTATCTGTCCATCTCCATTGTATCTTCCAATCCCATTTTACATATATATATATATATATATATATATATATATATGTGTGTGTGTGTGTGTGTGTGTATATATATATGTGTGTGTGTGTGTGTGTGTGTATGTATATATATATACATGTATTTTTTTATATATATAGTTTTTAAGTTTTATTTATTTAAATAATCTCTACACCCAACGTGGGGCTCAAACTCACAACCCTGACCAAGATCAAGAGTTGGATGCTCTTCTGATGGAGCCAGCCAGGCTCCCATATATTTATGATTATTTAACATATTTTTCCTACTAACTATATTGTTTACTTCTTAAAGAGCCTTGTCTTAAACTTTGTTATTAGAGTGACATCACATGCATACTTAATGGCAGTTGGATGGTTGGTTAATTTCAGGTGTATTTGGAAGTCCACATTCAGCACCAGCAGCCTGCAACCAATCAGTGATATCTTCTGTGGAAAATGGAGATACATTTTCAGTTAAACAAAGCATTGAACCACCATCGGGGATTTATGGAAGAGCAGTCCAGCAAAGTATTCCATCATATGTTGATGTTGAGAATGAAAAGGATGTAAGGTTATTTGCAGATTATTAGGATAAATTTAAGCCTATATTATATCATTTTTTTGTGTTCATCAGATTTGGGGTGGTGAAAGTGTTTGGATTGAAATTTTAAAAATCTCAGTATAATAGAAATTTCTGATCCTTAATCATATATTTATTTATTTATTTTAAGTTTGTGTATTTATTTTGACAGGGCACCTGGGTGGCTCAGTCAGTTAAGTATCTGACATTGGCTCAGGGCATGATGTCTCCGTTTGTGGGTTCTAGTCCTGCATTGGGCTCTCTGTTGTCAGCACAGAGGCTGCTTTGGATCCTCTATTTCCCTCTGTCTCTTTGCCCCTCTCTTGCTCGCGCACGTGCTCTGTCTTTCAAAAATAAATAAACATTTTTTAAAAGTTTACTTATTTTAAGAGAGAGAGTGTGTGTGTGAGCAGGGCAGGGGCAGAGAGAGAGGGAGGAACAATCTCTGACTCAGGATTCGATCTCACAAAATGTGAAATCATAACCTGAGTCAAAATCAAGAGTCAGACGCTCAACTAACTCAGCGACCCAGACGTCCCGTGATCCTTAATCATTTAATTGATGGATTATTCTTTCCTAACAAATATATTCTCATTCTGTATATTTGACGTATATATTATATATAGTACTTTATATATATGTATGTACATATATAATGTACTTTATATATATGTAATATTTAACAATTTTCTAGGACACTCAATGAGTAACAGACTGGTATCCTCAGGCACAGATTTAGTTATGACATTAGCACTATGTAATTCTGTTCAATTTTAGAATTCCTGAAATAAGGACTAAAAAATGTATATTTTATTTTTTACATATAGACCTTTAATGTCCACATACAGTTGTCTGAGATGAAGATAGTTATTTTAAATGTCAAACTCCCTGAATACTTTCAAATATTTCAACTTTTTCATTCAGGTTAAAGTTTCTATTTCAAAATCTACTTATGACAAGATGAGACAAAAGAGAAAAGAGGAAAAAGAACTTTTTGACATTAAAGATTGTGAAAAGAAGGAACAGAATTCCTGGGAGCGAATGAAACATACAGGAACTGAGAAAATGACATCTGAATGTAAGTGGAATTTAACTTTTGGTGTGTTTTTTAACTGATAATATTCTAAAGCTAGTGTACCTGTGGTTTAATTGAGGGCCAATAATGGAATATGTTGAACTATAACACTGAAATTTGCAAGACCCCGTAGCTTCTATTATAATAAATATTAATTCCTTCTCATCAAAAGGAAGTTGATTGTTTTTCTCCCTTCTAGACTTAAATATTTTTGGAGATGAGGTAGGAATATCAAAAAATGAGAGTTCCTCTTTAGAAAATATTGCCTTCATTCAGAGCCTGGAGCCTGTTTCCGATTCTGTGTCTCCCTCTCTCTCTGCCCCTCCCCCGTTCATGCTCTGTCTCTCTCTGTCCCAAAAATAAATAAAAACGTTGAAAAAAAAAAAATTTTTAAAAAAAAAAAGAAAATATTGCCTTCAGCCCTCCATTGAAAGAAGGGACCTGTTTAAAAAGGTCACCATCTTTAGCATTTTCAGATTCAGGTAAGAAACTTGTTTAAATGTGAAGAATAACATCACAAATGCTGGTTAAGATGAAGAGACCACATATGGTTCAGTGCATTTGTGATGAAAAGAGCATTAAACTAGTAGGAGTCAGTAGATAGACCTGGTTTCATGAATATTAGGTCTGCCCTTTAAATAACTTTGTGACCTGGAAATAGGCCTCAATTTTCTGCTGCTAGAAATATCCAAAATATCTCAAAGGTCAATATTAACTCAAAGATCTCCTCCATGCTCCCTTGTAAATATTACTGTTTCACTAAGTAGTGGTATCTTATATTAAGGGTTAAATGAGATTATGAAATTGGTTTATATTAGATCATGATTTTAATTTTTTAAATTTTTTTTAATGTTTATTTATTTTTGAAGGAGAGAGAGAGACAGAGCTTGAGTGGAGGGGGAGGAGCAGAGAGAGAGGGAGACATAGAATCCAAAGCAAACTCCAGGCTCTGAGCTGTCAGCACAGAGCCCGATGTTGGGCTCGAACTCACAAACCATGGGATCATGACCTAAGCTGAAGTTGGGTGCTCAACTGACTGAGCCACTTAGCCGCCCCTAGATCATGATTTTAAAAAATCATTATGAGGGGGTGGCTGTGTAGCTCAGTCGGTTAAGCATCTGACTTCAGCTCGGGTCATGATCTCGCAGTTCATGAATTTGAGTCCCATGTCTGGTTCTGGTGCTGATGGCTCAGAGCCTGGAGCCTTCTTCAGATTCTGTGTCTCCCTCTCTCTGCCCCTTTCCTGCTCAGGTTCTATCTCTCCCTCCCTCTCTCTCAAAAATAAAATAAACATTAAAAAAATTTTTTTAAAGATCATTGTTGGGGCACTTGGCTGGCTCAGGCAGTGGAGCATATGACTCTTGATCTCAGGGTTGTGAGTTCGAGCCCCATGTTGGGTGTAGAGATGACTTAAAAATAAAATCTTTTTTAAAACGTTAAAAATAGAGGCACCTGAGTGGCTCAGTCAGCTAAGCCTCCAACTCTTGATTTCAACTCAGGTCATGATCCTCATGGTTGTGGGATCAAGCCTCGTGTTGGGCTCTGCACTGGGCGTGAAGCCTGCTTAAGATTTTCTCTCTCTCTCTCAAAATAAAATAAAATAAAATAAATAAAATAAAATAAAATAGTAAAGTAAAATAAAGCAAAATAAAAATAAATTTAAAAGTCATTATATTTATCCTTTATTCAGTCTACCATTCAATACTTACTGGGTTCTATATCTGGCCAGAGTAGTTTCCATGTTTCCTGTGTGTTTTTAAAAATATTAAATAGGTCTTAGGTATGGTAGTCATCAGAAATTGAAAATGAAAAAACACATGAACTATCATAAACATTAAGGTTATTGCTTATTATTTTTATTTATTATTGTTTAATGTTACTGAAGAATAAACCGTTAAAACTGTCTTAAACATTTTAAAATTTATGTTGGGTCTGAAGTCTAGGTATTAATAAAAAAACAAAAAGTACAGAAAAAATAAATGTATAAATGTGATATTGGGCAACATACTTAACATCTCTCAAAATCTCTCACAATAAAAGAGATTTGAACTTGGGGCACCTGTGTGGCTTGTTAAGTTAAGCGTCCGACTTCGTCTCATGTCATGATCTCACGGTTTGTGGGTCTGTTGTCAGCACAGAGCCTGCTTCGGATCCTCTGTCTCCCTCTCTCTCCACCCCTCCCTCACTCGAGCGCTCTCTCTCTCTCTCTCTCTCTCTCTCTCCCTCTCTCTCTCTCTCTTTCTCAAAAATAAACATTTAAAAAAAAAAAGATTTGAACTGGATGAATGTCTGATTCTTCCCAGTTTGGATTTCTTTTATAATGCAAGTTTAGAAAACTTTTTAAAATTCTTTGTTCTCAAAACTAATAATTGTTGAAAGTATGACTGATGACATGTTGACTTGTAAAATTAGTGGTTTTAAACACATCCCTAAGAACCAGTTAAATGTAGGCCTTTGTGAAGTTGAAGCCTATTTGCTAGCATTCTCAAATAATTTCACTATTATTAATGTCATAAAATCTAGGGGGAGAAAAATCCACAAAACTTCTTACCTAAGTTCTGAACAATGCTGGCTGCTACTGTTAACAGTAGGAAAAGAAGTACAGATAGTAGTAAATAGTACACATTGATGAGGGGTGCATCGGTGGCTTAGTCAGTTAAGCATCTGACTTCGGCTCAGGTCATGATCTCACAGCTCAGCTCTCTGCTGACAGCTCAGAGCCTGGAGCTTGCTTCAGATTCTGTAGCTCTCTCTCTCTCTCTCTGCCCCTTCACCGCTCATGCTGTCTCTCTCTCTCTCTTTCTCCTTCTCTCTCTCAAAAATAAATAAAAACATTTAAAAAAATAGTACACATTGATGAATACATTTATGATAGTCATTTTCTAGTGCCTAATATTACCTTTTTAAAAATATCTCTTATCAGTAAAAAATAACTAGTAAATCTTTACCCATTTACAATAGCTGGTACACATTTTATTTGATCTTTTTGATCTTTTCCTTTCTAACACCCTCACTGCAGGTATCTTGCATTGTTCAGTGCCCCCTGGGCCATTACCCTGACACTCAAAGACAATGATTTGTTTCCCCAACATCTAGGGCAATGCCTTACATTTGGAAAATGGTTGGTAAATGTTTGATTACGGAAGAAATAGTGTTCTTATTACCACCCATGGTCTTAGGATTTGTAACAGACCATTAATTCTATACTAGTAGCAAAAAATTAGTATTTTTGGAATTCATCTCGAACTCTATATACAGATGTGATGAAGCTTCATTTTTAGTTGTCGGTTGTATGGTAAAACAGGTATACATCCACATGTTTTTACAAAATGGGATCATAATGCTTCTTATTGATTTTTTGCTCTTAAAACTATACTTTATTATGTGACTGAAAAACCATTTATATATTTATATTTGATATAATTTAATAATTTTGTAGATAAACAGTGAAGTTTTAAATACCTCTGGTATCTAGGTATTACAATTTTATTGAAGACTAAACTGGGGTGCCTGGGTGACTCATTGGTTAAGTGTCCAACTTCAGCTCAGGAATGATCTCACCTGGGTTGAACTGTCAGGTTTGTGCCGCCTGAGCCTGGACCTCTGATTCTGTGTCTCCTCTCTCAAATGCTCTGCCCTCCCCTGCTCATGCTCTGTCTCTCTCTCAAAAATAAAAAACATTAAAACATTAAAAAAAAATTATTGAAGACTAAACTAATAATACTAGTTTCCATAAGAAATATTCATAGAAGCTATGGTATATATATATATATATATATATATATATATATATATACACACAATGGAATATTACACATCAAAAAGAATGAACTCTTGCCATTTGCAGGAACGTGGGTGGAGCTAGAATGTATTATGCTAAGCAAAATAGGTCAATCAGAGAAAGACAAATATATGATTTCATTCATACGTGGAATTTAAGAAACAAAACAGATGAATATCAGGAAGGAGAAAACAAAGAAAGAAGGAAGCAAACCATAAGAGACTCCTAACTATACAGAAAAAACTGAGGGTTGATTAAGGGAAGTAGGCAGGAGATGGGCTAAATGGGTGATGGATATTAAGGAGGGCACTTGTAATGAGCACTGGGTGTTATATGTAAGTGATGAATCACTGAATTCTACTCCTGAAACCAATATTGCACTGTATGTTAACTAACTAAATTTTAAATTTTAAAAAAAGGAGGAAAAAAGTATTCATAGAATCTAGTCAGAATATCATTTGTTTTAGAGTTCTCTGCTGCTTTATTTAATATGTTTTTGTTTTGCTTTGTTTTAGGTGAAGCATCTCCTGGAGCCGTTCCACAATATAAAGAAAGGATTCCTTCTGTCACTCATAGTCCAGAAATAATGGATACATCGGAACTACGGTCATTTTCCAAACCAGAAATAGCACTGACAGAAGCCCTGAGGCTTTTAGCTGATGAGGATTGGTAAGTTCACCATCCTTAACTTAAAACTAAACTGAGTTCCACAAGTGTCCTATAAATTTTTTTTTAAACTTCGAAACATTTCCTATTAAAATAGTCTTAAAAATGATTATTATAGTTCTTAGACAGTCCAAAGTTTTTTCAACTTCTCAATGTAACTGAACTCTGGTCCTAATAGCACTGTATTACCAGTTATATTATAACTTATGTACCATAAGGACAGTTTACCTTTATCATGGATTATGTAAATCTTTTGGCACTGGAATACAAATCTCACCATTTCTCCAAGTGTTTCTCTGTGAAATACATCGTATAACAATCCTGGAAATATATCCACGTTACTACCGCAGCTGCAGCAGCCACCCAGCCCCGCCCAGCTGGAGCATCTCCTGGCTCCTCTTGTCCCACCCATTTCCTTCCCTTCTTCTTCAGTATCTCTCTCTATCCCCATCTTCTGTGTCCTCAGTTTTGCTCTTCTACTAGATCATATTCCTCAACATTAAAATGTGCTGTATCTCCTATTTCTTAAAAATCCTCCGTAAACTACACATCTTTTTCACATTTCTTTTCTTCTTGTTGTTTAGCCAAGTCCTCTAAAAGGCTAACTCATTGTCTTTAGTTTTCCACCTCATATTTTCTTCTCAATCTTTAATTGGCTCTCAACCCTCCCCATCATGACCATCACATCACTAAATCTATGAAAATGATCACCTTGCTAAATCTACACTGGTTATTTATTAGTGGTTATGTTTCTTAGCCTTTTAGCAACATTGGACACAATCGACACTCCTTTCTGATTTCACTGTGGAAAATTCAGTCTCTTGATTCTTTTCTTGCTTTAGTTTGTTCTTATTTCTTCTGTTTGACTTCAGAAGTGAGGTATGCTCCAGAATTCACTCCATTGGCATTCTCTATCTGCATTTATTCCACAGATCTAGGCTGGCAATCGTTTTCTGTAAAGGGCCAGATGGTAAATATTTTCAGCTTTGCAGGCCAGGTGTCTCTATCACAGCTCCTCAACCTTGCTGTTGTAGTGTAATAGCAGCCTTAGGTAGTATGAAAACAAATGGCTTTAGCTATGTCCCAATAAACTTTACTTATAAAAAAATCTGATGGGGCCAGTTTTCGTCTGTGAGTCATAGTTTGCCAACCTGTTTCCTAAATGATTACATTTATTATATAGCTTTGAATTCAGTCCATACTTTGATTCTCATGAATGTATGTCTGGATCCTAGATATCTTCTTGAGCTCTAAACTTATAATCCAACTGCCTACTTGACACTTTCACTTTGATGTCAATAGACATTTTAAAAGTTTTTTTTTTAACGTTTATTTATTTTTGAGACAGAAAGAGACAGAGCATGAACGGGGGAGGGGCAGAGAGAGAGGGAGACACAGAATTGGAAACAGGCTCCAGGCTCTGAGCCATCAGCCCAGAGCCCGACGTGGGGCTCGAACTCACGGACCGCGAGATCGTGACCTGAGCCGAAGTCGGACGTTTAACCGACTGAGCCACCCAGGCGCCCCTAAAATAGAAGTTTTTATTTACCTACCTCCTAATCCCAAATCTGCTTCAGTATTCACCATCTTAGTTAATAGCCCTGCCATGGACATTTAGTTGTTCATACCAAGTCAGTGTTGACTTTTTCTCGTTTCTTCACATTCCATCAGTTCTTTTACTTTCAGAACACATTTCAGCTACATTTATCTCTCATCTGGCTATAGTGGTATCATCACTGGTTTGCATGCCTCCATTATTGCTGAACTCACGCAACAGCCAGAGTGATGCTGTTAAAACATAAATCAGACCCTGGGATTCCCTCACATAAAACCCTCCAATGGCCCTCTAGAACACTAGAAAAAAAATTTTTAACTGTTTTTTATAGCTTACAAAGTCCTTCATTATCTGTCTGTGGCCTCTTTGTAGCCTCATCCCCTACAGTGCTCTGCCTTACTTATCCACTCTAGCCATCAGGCTATTTCCTTAACACCCAGCTCATTTATACCTCAAGATCTTTGTACTTAATCTTTGAACACTCTTCCAAGTGGCTTCTCTCTCACTTCATGTGAGTATCAAATGTCACCTCCTCAGGAAAGCCTTCTGGCATGACTTTTACTAAAATAGTGTACTTTTCCCCATCCTCTTATATTGCTTTATTTTTAATATTGCTACCCAACCTTATGTTTCATTTTAACATTCTTCTTAGCAATTTGATTATGATGTTCCATGTTGTGGGGTTTTTTTGTGTGTGCTATCCTGTTTGGGGTATGTTCTTACATTCGAGGGTTCATAGTTTTGATCAAATTTGGAAAAATTTTAGCCACTTTTTCTTAATTACTTTTTCTGCCTCCCTCTCTCTTGTCTGTACTTTCTGTTATTTATGTGTATAGAAGAGTTGTTTCTGCATTTAAATTGTAATTGTAAGCTGTTTTATCCTTTTGAAAAAATGATCATTTTGAACCGGAAAGCTATTAACAAATAGATCCATTTACTCTTGCCACCTTGGATTCTTAGGTGTTTTTCCTTTCTCTGAAGTTTCCATAACTCATTCAGGGAATTTAAATGCTTTAAAAAATGACCACCATCAATATTACCCAAGGAAATATTATAATATTTCTAAGGAAATTCATTTTGGCTCAGATTTTCAAACCTGCAAGATGAAAATCATCAAATTTGTATTGTTAACATCTAAATCCCACTTGAATCCCACCCTCTTGTTAGTACTGCCTACCCTTCATCTACTTCATTAAGCCAGATAATGAAAGAAAAATACAAATTATAGAACCATCTGTTGGTGGTTTTCTGCTTTTGGATTATATATTTGCCAGTGAGGTAATTGCTTCTCTCCTTCCGTTTTTGTTTTACTGCTTCCCTCACCTTCTGTTCTCCAGAAAGAATATGGCATTCCTATCACTAGGGGGGAAATATTCCTTTTTATTTACGAAGCATAAACTTCATTTGACTGTCAATGTTGATTTTGGGTCTTAAAAGATATTTTGAATCATTGAAGAGAGCTATTGGAACAAACAAAACTATGTATTTTTTATTTGAAATTCCTAAATGGTATGGGAGAATAAGCAAGGTCTCCTCTTTGGCAGTATTTCATGCACACAAGACAAGATATCTGAGATCCTGTTGTTTGAGCCCCATGTAGTAAGTGATTCTGTCATTTGTTTCTTTTTCCCATAGGGAGAAGAAAATTGAAGGACTGAATTTTATTAGATGCTTAGCTGCTTTTCATTCTGAAGTATTGAACACAAAGTTGCATGAAACAAGTTTTGCAGTAGTTCAAGAGGTAAACTTAGTTTTCAGCCTAGTTAAGGGTTGTTTGGATGACAAAGAATAAATATGCCACATTTATTTGACTTTAAAAAATATTTCTGTACTAAGTGATATAAACAATAAACAGCTTGTATGTAGTTAAAAGTAGCTTATGTTTGGGTGGCTCAGCATTATAGCATGTGACTCTTGATCTTGGGTTTGTGAGTTTCAGCCCGTAAAATCTAAACGGTAGATTTTACTTTAAAAAAAAAAAAAAAGTAGCTTATACCTTACTTCACAACTTTTTTTTTTAATTTTTTTTTTTTTTACTTCACAACTTTAAAAAAAAATTGTTACATGTTAATTTTTAGGGCGTAAGATAATATGTATTAAAACAGGTTACTGTAATAGTAAATGTGGTTTCAAAGTTATTATTACTGATTTTCTTTCAGAATATCAGCAAAATATACATTTTGGAAATTTTTTTTAGGTGAAAAATTTACGCTCTGGAGTTTCTCGTGCTGCTGTGGTCTGTTTAAGTGATCTTTTCACTTACCTGAAAAAGAGCATGGATCAAGAACTAGATGCTACAGTAAAAGTTTTGTTGCACAAGGCTGGAGAATCAAATACATTTATAAGAGAAGATGTTGACAAAGCCCTGAGAGCTATGGTCAGCAATGTAACTCCTGCACGTGCAGTTGTTGCTCTTATCAGTGGAGGACAAAGGTAATGTTCAAAATAATCAATGTGTCCTTAAACTATAAAGTCAATTGTTTGTAGTCTGGGATATAGGGAAAAAAAGGAAACATCAGTATTATTTCAGTCAAAAAATAAGTAATTCCCATATGATAAACATCAGATTAGGTGGAGAGCATATAAAGAATAATAATATTGGTATTATAGTAATTTTACTTACATTCATAGATACGGAACTAAATAAATGTCAGTGACTATGAGTTTGTTTTGTTTTTAACTTCTTTTTTTTTATTTGTTTTTTGTTGTTGTTGTTGTTGTTGTTTTTAACTTCTTAGGTGGAGGGTAACTAATGTAATTTGTCATTTTAGCCTCCAAGGATGGTTGTTGAGGGTTAGAAGAGGTTTAATCATTTTTTTTTTCCAACGTTTATTTATTTTTGGGACAGAGAGAGACAGAGCATGAACGGGGGAGGGGCAGAGAGAGAGGGAGACACAGAATCGGAAACAGGCTCCAGGCTCTGAGCCATCAGCCCAGAGCCTGACGCAGGGCTCGAACTCACGGACCGCAAGATCGTGACCTGGCTGAAGTTGGACGCTTAACTGACTGCGCCACCCAGGCGCCCCTAATCATTTAACTTTAAAGGTACATCTTTGGTAAATAGTTTATACATCCGATTTGTTTGGCCATGTTTTCCTGTAGCCATTTACACATTGCGGTAAGAAGATGTACAGCCCAGCACTTATCAGATGTAGTGGAATTTATGGAACCAGAGCGTATTTTATCTGGAACAAAGGATATGGCTGACCGCATATTACCAGCTGCTGCCAAGTTTGCTCAGGACAGTTCACAAGAAACCAGGTGAATAGCTGCTAATAATATTTGCTGAATCTGTTAGGAAAATGGCTTGAAAGTAGGCAGCAAAGGTTAAAAAAGAATAAACATTTTTCCTAAATTGACAAGTGGGGTCCACAGGGATTGGTGCTGGGGGATGGACTTATTTAACCAATTTGCAAATGATCTTGAGGGAGTGCACAGTGAATTCTCCAATTTGCGGATGACATTACCTACTTCTGGGTAGTGAGATGCCATGTCACAGGGATGAACTGCATGAAAACGGCACAAGACTGAGTGGGCAGAAAAGTGGCAGAAGAACTTTATTTTGGGCAAGTGTAAGGTAATGCCTTTAGGGGAAGTGATATATTTTCCAAGCTGTTAGGTGAAATCATGGAAGTAGGTGCACATGAAAAATACAGGAAGCAAAATGGGTAACATATTATCTTCTGAAACATGATATAGCTGCACTTAGAAAATCCCATAAATTTCTGAACACTGTATTTGAAGAACAATTTTACAAAGGTTAAGAACAGTCAAGAGAGAAATGACGAAATAATTAAGATGTGGATGGTACATTATCCGTGTTGGTAACTTTTTTTTTTTAAGTAAACTCTTTGCCCAAAGTGGGTCTTAAGGCCATGACCCCAGCATCAAGAGTCATATGGTCTACTGACTGAGCCAGCCAGGTGCCCCTAGATGTATTGGTGGCAGAAATTTTAGATGTAGTCAGGAGCCTAGGTTCAATTCCTAGCCCCAGTTACTGTTTGCCCTAAAGCAAATTACTTACTGTCTGTTAGGCTAGGTTTTCTTGTATGTAAAATTAGGAAGGTGGGACTAGGTGGTTGATAATGTCCCATACAAAAGTCTAAAAATTTATGGCAGTTACATATGAAGATAGATTAAAAGTGGGGAGGGGGGATCCTGAGTTCATAGAGACTAAAGTAAAGAAGGGTATTAAAGTTTTAACCTTTTTAAGACAAAGGTATCCTTGACTTTAGGTAACTGGAGTTAATCTTATGGAAATCATTATACCAGAAGCTAATATAGAAAGTCAATGTATTCATTTTCTATTGCTGTGTAACAAAGTGCCACAAACATAGTGGTGTAAGGCAACACAGACTTTTTTAGCTTACTGTTCTTTAGGTTAGAAGTCTTGCATGGCTCAACTGCTTTCTCTGCTTAGGGTCTCCCAAGACTGAAATCAAAGTAACGATAAGGCTGGGATCTTATGTAGAGGCTCTGTAGAAGAATCTGCTTCCAAACTCCTTTTGGTGGTTAGCCAAATTTAGTTCCTTATAGTTTTAGGACTGAGGTCTCTATTTCTTTGCTGTTGTCAACCAGGGTCCTCTTTCAGCTCCTTAGGGCCACCCAAATTCCTTTTTATGCAGCCCCCTCCATCTTCAAGCCAAAAACAGTATGTTGAGTCCCCCTGTTGCTTAGAAGCTGTCTTACTTCCTCTTCTCTTACCAGCCATAGAAAGCTCTCTGCTTTTAAGGGCCTGTCTGATTAGATTAGGCCCACCCAGAAAATCTCCATATCTTAGAGTTAACTATACCATATAATATAACGTAATCCTGGAAGTTATATCTCATATTTACAAATTGTAGGGATTAGAGCAGGACGTCTTTGAGGAGCCATTTTAGAAGTTGTGTATACCAAAGTAAAGTTCAAAGCAATTTAGGAGGGTTCAGATCATAATAGACTAGTTAGGAACAAGAAAAAGATTCATAATGGTTGTTTTGTGTACATCTTTAAAAAAAAATTTTTTTTAAGGTTTATTTTTGAGGGGGAGAGAAAGACAGATGGAGCACAAGCAGGGGAGGGCAGAGAGAGGGGGAGACACAGAATCCGAAAGTAGGCTCCACGGTCTGAGCTGTCAGCACAGAGCCTGACGTGGGGCTCATACTGACCAGCTGTGAGATCATGACTTGGGTCGAAGTCGGACGCTTAACCGACTGAGCCACCCCAGCACCCCTGTTTTGTGTACATCTTAACCTTTCCTTAAATGACATGGTAATTGTTTTAATCCATTTCATCATTTCTTGATTTCTTATTTTAAGTTTTAAAGTTATAAAATAGTTACACCTTTACAGTTTTAATATTTGTCACACTTAGTGTCCCCATTGCTTGTTTACTTGATTGTTTTAGCCATTCTCCTATCATTAAGGGCTTGTGATGGACCTACAGTTTTTAATATTCTTGGCTAAAAGTTATAATCATCCTTGAAACTATAACTGATTAGGAACTACTTATCAGGGTGTAGACTTTATTCTGGTTCTGAGGAGAGAACGGTAGTTTTTATTTTCTGATACTACCTCTCTATAATTTCATTATAGTTGGAGTCTAGTTGATACAGATATTTCTGAAATCACTCTGTACCCTCTCCCTATCCCCCAAGCCTTGCCTTCTCTGCTTCTTCTAGTTCCTTATATTCCAATTTGTAGGGAAAAAAATAATTGTAATTAGCTTTAGGGCCATGCCTCCTTGAAGGATAGTGATATGGTATAATTAAAAGGTACTGTAAGACCCCTCTATTCAAAAATATCTCCAGTATACACTTCTATATCTGCAGTTCTTCCATTAGAATGATATCTGGGCTTAAGGCTTTATCCTGAGAGAATTTTTTTTTTAATGAATAATTTTGAAATTTATATATCGTAAAAAATTTAGTTTGGAGAGCATTACACATTCATTAATATATCATCAATGATTTATCAACTAACTTTGGGTGTGTTTTAGGTAGCAGAGAATAGGTTTTGAAGAATTGGAACCCAGGTAAGTTTGGGCATGAAAAAAAAAAGGTTCTGTATTTCCTACAGAACCTAGGGAAGGTTGACTTAGGTCAGAACATCTGACCAGCAGGGGAGCAGCAAAAGCTCACTGGGCAAGGAGCCCAGGATAAAGACAAACTTCTCCTAACTCACAGTTCTGTCAAATGCTGGCCTTGATATGGGCCCTAGGGTGTCTGAAAAATAGAATTCAAGCTTTTGGCTCTCCATCTGACATATAACTGAAAGAATTGAAGCTATAGTGTTTTTTAAAGGTGAGGGGCAGGAAAATGCTTTATTCCAGCTCAATTAATATAACTACATTTCAGTGGTTTATTTAAAATAGGGATGACAGTTTTGATGTTGATAGATTTTTTTTTTTCTGTTGAAAAAAATTGCATCTAAGGACAGAAACTGAGTTTGTTTAAGGTATATAACATTATTTACATATTTCTCAAATATCCATAGGTACTATGGTCGAAAGATGCTTTTCCTTTTGATGTGTCATCCAAACTTTGATAAAATGCTTGAAAAATATGTCCCATCTAAAGACTTGCCATATATTAAGGAATCTGTTAAAAGCTTACGGCAAAAGGTATGTGGAAAAAGTTTATTTTATAAACAGCTTTAAAAGCAAAGTACCAGAAAAAAATAATAATAAAAAATAAATAAAAGCAAAGTACCAGGAAGCTAAAGGATACAAGTAATTACTTCAATTATTTCTCTGTTAACCATTCAGACTGTATCTATAGTAGCATTTCAACAACTGCAGTTGAAAAACTTGGAGTAGACATTCATAGTGTTGGTAAGTGTTTATTGAACAGAAGCTCGATACTTGATAGAACATAGTGTGGTTTACTGGAGTGACAAGACTTGGGTTTGAATCACAACTCTGAGAATTAGCGAACTATAATGTTAGGTACATCGCTTCATTTCTTTAACCTGAAGTTGTATTTTTATAAGGTAAGAATAGTGATGTTCTTCACGCTTGATTCCTACTTTATTTACCTTGCATATTCCACTATTAGAATTCCTGTCACACTGCAGAACATTAATTGGGAGCTGCTTGAGGGGAAGCCCCATGTCTTATTTATCCTGGTAGATAATGGGGATTCGGACATGTCTGAAATGAGTGACTGAGGGAATATCACGTAAATTAAAATATGAAAAGTGTCTTATAAAAAAGTAATCCACTTACATATTATTTTTTACAAAAATATGTTAAATAATCTAGAATTATTCTGTGGTAATTTATGTTATTCTTTACTGATAATCTTCAGCAAAGGATTCATTTACGTAAGGATAGTATTTCAAAGATGTATGATAATATACATTTTAGAGCATTTTCTTCTGCTCATTTAGCTTAATTCATACAGAAATAACTAAAGTAACCATGCAAAAAATTATCTTACCAGCGTGAGGCAGATTATATTTGTGAGTCATTTCAAGTACAAGTATTTTTAAATAGTTCTTATGTAAGTGTTTATTCTCACACTGGAATTCATTATTCTCACACATAGGAATTCATTATTTATGTAATGTGTTCATATTTTCTCTACAGATTTTAAGGTTTAAGAAGAATACTTATAAAACATAGCATATTAATTTTAAAAATGTTAAACAGTTTTACCCTGCCAGTGTCATTTCCTATTAATTCGGTTAATTTACTACTAATTAGAAGGTATTTTATGTATTGATACCTTTTGAAGCAGAAGCATAGCAGATTATTAAAATGCTTTCAATTACAAAGATCAATAATGGGTTCTCTGAAAATTGCATTGTATAAATTATTTCACTTTACTAGTTTTGAAATTTTTAGGGGCGTCTGGGTGGCTCAGTTGGTTAAGTGTCCAACTTCAGCTCAGGTCTTAATCTCCCGGTTCGTGGGTTCAAGCCCCGTGTCAGGCTCTGTGCTGACAACTCAGAACCTGGAGCCTCCTTCGGATTCTATACCTCGCTGTCCCTCTGCCCCTCCCTACTCACACTGTTTCTCTCTCTCAAAAATAAATAAACATTTTTTAAAATTTTTAAAAAAGACTTTTATTTTACACTGCCTTTCTTTATATTACTTAAAGGGTTTGGGAGAGATACCACTAGATACTCCTTCAGCAAAAGGAAGACGATCTCATACTGGTACTGTTGGAAATACACGGTCATCCTTTGTTTCTAGAGATGCTTTCAATTCAGCTGAAAGGTAGGCTCATTTGATAGTTCACATCATTGGAGAAATTACTCCCTAGTGATAGTAGTCTCATTTGGATATTTTTATGAACTATTCCAGGGATATTTGTCAAAACTGAATGGAGTTTTAAAAGTTGAAAGTAAGAACTTTGAAAGTGTGAGGTAATTAAATTTAATAAGGGAATTGCATATTCACAGCAGCTTTCTTTTATATGCACTAAACAGTATTAAAGCATTAATGTGGTTTAATAAAGTGCTGTTGAACTTGTCAATATTAGGCCTGTGTTGGACAACTCTAATTGATTTTGTATTAATTTATAGCCTTTACTTTTTCCCCTTGATTATGAAAATAATACATAATTATGATTAAAGAAAAAAAAAACTTTAGAAAATCCAGACATTATAAGAACAATTTAACCAATCACCACCAGGCAGAAGAATCCTCTTAAAATTTTTATGAATATAATTACATATGCTATTGTGGAACCTGTTTACATTATGTAACATGTAATAGATTGATTATATAACTTAAAATTTTTTTTCTTTTGAAAGTATGATCTCTGGCATATTTTAAAATATATTTTAAACATTATTTTTAAAACTACATGGTAGATATATAAGTATCTTTCATATTTTCTAGATTTGTATATTTTTGAAATATTTCATAAACTAAAATATACATTTTGTTAAAAAATTAAAATCCATGTGAAAATACATGCTTTTGGGACCTTGCTATTCTAAGTACAGTCCATAAAACAGCCCCATTGGCATCCCCTAAGAACTTACTAGAAATTTGAATCTTAAAAAAAAGAAAAAAAGAAATCCAAATTTTGTAATCTTCCCAAGCCTATGGAATCAGAATCTGCTGTTTTTTTCACATTAAGGTATAATCACAGGGGTACCTGGGTGGCTCAGTCGGTTAAGCATCTGACTTGACTTCAGTTCAGGTCATGATCTCCAGGTTCATGAGTTTGAACCCTGTGTCGGGCTCTGCGCTCACAGTCCAGAGCCTGCTTGGGATTCTTTGTCTTCTCGCTCTCTGCCCTTACCCAACTTGTGTGTATGCGAGTGCTCTCTCTCTTTCACTCTCTCTCTCTCAAAAATAAATAAAACTTTAAAAGAGTGTCATTGAATATTTAAAAAAAAAAAAGATACAATCACATAAAATCCTGGGTCAGACATTTTGGTCAAAAACTTTTTTTGCAACCAACAAAAAGTAGCTTTTTAAATATTAATTGAGAATATACTGTGTACCAAGCCCTTTCTGGTCAGTTACTTATTTTGTAGATGTCTCTTAATTGGGTATTATCTGATCATTTTTCACAGTTAGATTTGAGGTTATGCATTTTTTGACAAAAAATACCTCAAAAGTCAAGTTGTACCCTTCTCAGTGCATCATTTCATGAGGTGCATGATGTTGCTGTGCCTTCTTACTGACTGTGTTAACCTTGATCCTCTGATAAGGTGGTTTCTCTTGGGTTTCGTCACTGCAAAATTACTATTTTCCCCCTTATAAATAATAGATATTTTGGAATACTTTGAGACTATATAAATCTCCTGTTTCTCATCATACTGTAGTTTACAAATCTTAGCAACCATTGATGGATCTTGCCTGCAGCAATTATTGTGGGATTTATTAATTTATTTATTTATGTCTAATGGTGATCTTTTATTTACCTTATTCTTCTACATTTATTAGTTGAATTTTTGCATGAAGAAAACTGCTACTTTTCCTCCATGTATTCACTTACTCAAATATTTATATTATTGTAGATGGATGGATTTTTATTTTATTTTATGGGTTATAATCTATCTATATCTATAAAAACTATTCATTACTCACTTTTTCAAATTGTTGCAACTTTAAGATCTCCCTCAGGTTGGCTGCTGTGCTTTGTTAACATGGCACATTTTACATTTCTTTATTTTTTGCCATCACAAGATTGCCCAGGATCAACTAGTATTATTTCCTCTTCTCTAAACTGTATGTTTCTAATTTCTTTTTCTTTCCTGTCTGAATTGCAATGACTAGAATATTGAATATGATGTTGCATACAAATATTAAGAACAAACATCTTACCTTATTCCTAATCTTAGGCACAAAACATTTGGTATTTTCCCACTAAGTATGATGTTAGCTATAGATTCATAAAAGTCTTTTATCAGGTTAAAGGTCCTTCCTCTTTCTAGTTTGAGTTTTTATCGTGAATGGTTATTGAATTTTGTCAAGTGATTTCTCAATGTCTATTAGGATAATCATGTATTTTTCCTTTATTCTATTAATATGAATGGTTTACAGTCATTGATTTCCAAATGTTGAAAAAAGATAACTTGTATTGCTTGGATTAGTAGCACTTGATCATGAAGTGTTATATTTTTAATATATCACTGGTGTTGGTTTGCTAAAATTAGGTGGGTATTTTTTGTCTATAGTCGTGGGATCTGTAGTTTTCTTGTCTTAGGATGTCTTTGGTTTTGTTATGGGAGTAATGCTGGATAATACCTTGTGGTTTCTTCTTTAATACATGGGCTATTTAGAAATGTGTTTCTTACCAGCTGTATAAGATGGTTCCAGTTTTAACACCTCCTCATCAATATGTGTTATTCTCCAAGTGGGTATAAACTGGTATCTCATATGACAAAGACTTTTTCTTTAGCTATACTTTACACAGGCTTTTTATCCATGAATCCTCTAAGTCTGCTTATTGGCTATAAATTCCAGCTGTCTTTACTACATTCAGAATTGAACACCTTCTGACTATCTCCTCTATTGCAGTAGTCATGACCCCTATTCCAAAGTCTTAACTAAAGTCTTCTTTATAACTTTACAATGTCAGAATAATTATTCTTTACCACGTTATAGTTTTGACTTGTGTTTCTTAGTATGTCTTTTTAAAGTATGTTTTTTGTAAAAATATATATGTTATATTTAATATATATTTATATATCTGATTAAATCTTGCTTTTTTATCTAATAATCTCTCCCCTTCAATTAGAGTATTTGACCATTTCTATTTGGTATAATTATTCATATGGTTGGGTTTAAGCCTATCATGTTGATATTTTTTTTTACATTATTTTTCAATCTATCCTGGTTTTGTTTCTTTTTTCCACTTTTCCTGCCCTTTTTTTCATCCAAATTTTTACTTAAATTCTAGTTATCATACAGTGTAATATTAGTTTCATGTGTAGAATTTAGTGATTCATCACTCACATACAACACCCCAGTACTCATCACAAGTGCTGTCCTTAATACCCATCACCCATTTAACCCATTCCCCCACCCAAATCCCCTCCAGTAACCATCAGATTGTTCTCTATAGTTAAGAGACTGTTTCCTGGTTGGCCTCTTTTTTTTCCCTTCCTCTGTGCTCTTTTGTTTCTCAAATTCCACATATGAGTGAAATCATATGGTATTTGTCTTTCAATGACGGACTCATTTTGCTTAGCATAATACACTGGCTCCATCCACATCATTGCAAATGGCAAGATTTTATTCTCCTGATGGCTGAGTAACATTCCATTGTGTGTGTGTGTGCGTGTGTATGTATGTATGTATAATATATACATATTATATACACATGTATATTATATATGTATAACTATATACATGTATATATTATACACACACATGCATACACAAACACATACATACATCCACACTACCTCTTCTTTATCCATTCATCAGTAGATAGACATTTGGACTCTTTCCATAATTTGGCTATCATTGATAGTGCTGCTATAAACATTGGTGTGCATGTGCCCCTTTGAATCAGTATTTTTGTATCCTTTGGGTAAATACCAGTAGTACAATTGCTGGATTGTAGGATAGTTCTATTTTTAATTTTTTGAGGAACTTCCATACTGTTTTCCAGAGTGGCTGCACCAGTTTGCATTCCCACCAGCAGTGTAAGAGGGTTCCCTTTTTTCTGCAGCCTTGCCAACACTTGTTCTTTCCTGTGTTGTTCATTTTAGCCACTCTGACAGGTGTGAAGTGATATCTCATTGTAGTGTTGATTTGTATTTCTCTGATGACCAGTGATGTTGAGCATCTTTTCATGTGTCTGTTTGTGTGTCATATGACGTATCAGATATGTCATTTGCAAATATCTTCTCCTATTCCATAATTTAATAATTTAATTCCATAATTTATTCCATAATTAATTCCATAATTTAATTTTGTTGATTGTTTCCTTTACTATGCAGAAGGTTTTTATTTTGATGAATTCCCAATAGTTTATTTTTGTTTTTGTTTCCCTTGCCTCAGGAGATCTATCTAGTAACAAGTTGCTGCAGCCAATGTCAAAGAGGTTATTGCCTGTATTCTCCCCCAGGATTTTAATGGTTTCCTGTCTCACATTTAGGTCTTTCATCCATTTTGAATTATTTTTGTATATGGTGTAAGAAAGTGGTCCAATTTCATTCTTGTGCATGTTGCTGTACAGTTTTCTCAACACCATTTGTTGAAGAGACTGGTTTTTTTTCCATTGGATATTCTTTCCTGCTTTGTTGAAGATTAATCAACTATATAGTTGTGAGTTTATTTCTGGATTTTCTATGTGTTCCATTGATTTATGTGTCTATTTTTGTGCCAGTCCCATACTGTCTTAATCATTACAGCTTTGTAATATAACTTGAAGTCCAGAATTATGATGCCTCCAGCTTTGCTTTTCTTTTTCAAGGTTGCTTTGGCTATTCAGAGTCTTTTGTGGTTCCACACAAATGTTAAGATTGTTTCTTCTCGCTTTGTGAAAGATGCTGTTGGTATTTTGATTGAGATTGCATTAAATGTGTAGATTGCTTTGGTTAGTACAAACATTTTAACAGTATTTGTTCTTTCAATCCATTAGTGTGGAATGCTTTTCTTTATGCCGTCTTCAATTTTTTTTTTTTTTTTTGAGAGAGAGAAAATGAGAGAGAGAGAGTGCAAACCAGGGAGAGGGACTGAGGAAGGGAGGGAGAGAGGGAGAGGGAGAGGGAGAGAGGGAGAGAGAAAGAGAGAGAGAGAGAGAG